GCGGGGCGCGGCAGGCGGGGCTCGAGGCAAATGCCGCACGCGCTGACAGCTCCTGCTGCACACTTGAGCGCTTCCCCACGTCAGCGGCACGTGAGCGCGGGCATTCGCATGCAGTGTTAGATTACACTCTGCTAAACACATGCCACTTTCCTTGAGGTGTCGGGTTTCAAAGGCCTCGCAAATTGTGAGATGATTTAGGATTATTCAGAGATATTTGGTAAAAAACATATTCAGAGATAATGGTAAAAAACAATTTTAAAAATATTAAAAGCACAGCATAATCAATAATTATTTTCAATGAATTACTACAATTATTTACTACAACTACTTGTATTTTCAATTATTATTATCAATGAAAATTGATAGGTGTTTAGTTAGAGGAAGAATCTGACACTGCTTTCTTGCTTGTCAGCTGTCGTGCGCCTGGCTGTCCTGATTGCCCCGCTTTTTCCAGCCGTGAGTGGGAAAGGAACGCGCGCATTTCCTGTACAGCAGGAAATGCTTTGCTTTTCATTCGTTATACCAGGCACTTTTCCTGTGCCCCCCTACGATACAAACTGGCAAGTATTTTTTTTAAAAAAATTTCACAAGTTTGTTCTTCTCTGAAAATCAGCGGATGTTAACTGGAAGACTTATTGTAGTTTATCACAATGCTAAATATTACTATATGTATGAGAGATATATTATATAATAGTATTTCATCTGATGATATACAAAAATTAAATTCTTTGTTACGAAATTTTTCGTTCAGTTTACAGTATATCGCTCAGTCGACGTTTTGCAACGATCTATGCAATATGTACAACATGGAATACAGTATACAATGTCTTATATCTTTGGTCACCTTCCGTTCGCGTGGGGCTCGTATACTGGGGCGTGCGGCCCGCCGCCGCAGGGGGCGGCGACCACTACGCGCGCTCCTGCGGTCAGTGCACGTATTCGTTGGCGAGCTGGTACTGCTGCGTGTCCACGATGACGCTGGTGTAGCCGGGCTGCGGGAGGCCCGCGGCCGCCGCCGCCGCCGCCCCCGCGCCCGCCCCCGCGCCGGGCTTGCCGTACTCCTGCGGGTGGAAGGCTGCGCGGCCGCGGCGGCTGCGGCAGGCGGCGGCCGCCGCCGCCGCCGTCCTCCCGTGGTGGTGGTGGTGATGGTGGTGGTGGTTGTGGTGGTGGCTGTGGCCCGGGAGGTTGTTGTTGAAGTTGCACGCGAGGCCGAACTGCGCGGCGTGCGGCGCGTGTGCGTGCGTGTGCGCGGAGTGGGCGGTGTGCTGCGGCGCCGTCTGCGCCTGCTGCGGGGGCGGCTGCTGCTGCTGCTGCGACTGCGGCTGCGCCTGAGGCTGCGGCTGCTGCTGCAGCGGGGAGGGCGCGTCGGTGCAGAAGCCCAGCGCCGGGAGGGCCTGCTGCGAGTCGCTCTCCGAGCTGGCGCAGCTGCTCGAGGAACTGCTGAAGGGCCGCTGCGTCGCCGCCAGCGACTCGCCGTACGGGTAGAACAGGTCCTGCGAACAGGGCGGTCAGAGGGGTCGTTTAGTCACATACGTAGCCCAGGAAGTAAACTTCGCATGCAGAAGTGCTCCTTATTTTTCTTAACACGCTTTATAACTGCTACGTTGCATCGGATGGAATTAAGAAGGAAGGGAATATTACAAAAATGTATTATCAAACAAAATACGATTTCATGACTGACATAAAATAAGTAAATTTCACCTGCGCGATTACAATTTTCTAACAATTGAAAAATAGCGCATGTTTTTACGGAGAAAATTCAAGTAAAAGACGAGTAAAATGTAGCCTTACAATTTAAAAAAAAAGTTTTTGATTCATTTGATAAAACAAGTACAAATAAATCTTTGACATTTATGAACAACCAGCAACATGCCATATGAAACTGAAGACAGTGAATTACAGAAAGTTCAGGAAGTTATCCTCTGCTCTTGATTACATTAACGTATAAATTCTTTCAAAACTCAAGAAAATGGCATTAAATAATCGATATTTTTTAAATATTGCTTTTGGAAGAAATGTTATTGTAATTCTGAAACACCTGGCGACTCTCCAGCACTGCAGAGACTAACGTATGCACGTATGAAATAGGCAAACAAAATAAATATGTTTCCGGGCAAGAATATTGCAAAAGAAATTCTGGGACACTGGACAGGAATAATGGTATCGTATTGCGAGTAATTACTGTGTACTAATGAAAAACACATATACAAGTAGATATTACATTATAAGGTTATGACCTAAATGGTTCAAGCATCTGTACAACTAAGAATGCTAACATCTTTCATAACAAACACTGATTAACTAACAAAAACGGGTTGCATGAAAATTCCATTAAGATATTCTCCAAAACGGATAATTATCTTGCTAAGCAATATCTTTCCATTTGAAGATACTAACTTACTCGTTCTCTCCGTACCGCAAAGAAATAAATTTGAGTTTGAGGTCATTTGTGAAATATCTAATGATCAGTGTTACCGAGCTATTCCAGTGTTATCGTTCTTGACATATTGCACTCTAAGAACATTATCCAGTCTTATAAATTAATATGCGAACTAATGTTTAGCTCATCTATAATTGATGGATTCCCAAGGAAAACTTTCTCCCTAATACATCTGAAATTTGCAAACGTGATTTCAATTTCATTCTAAAATTTAAAGATTTACTATTTTCAATTTTCATTTCAAGCTTGGTGATTTAAAATATCTACAACACAATTCAATTAACACAATTTTTAAAGATTGAATTCATTTATTGATTTCGACATATAACCCCTGACGAGAACTGCAGAAAAGGAGAAAAAAGGCTTGCTGCCGAGAAGGGGATGGTCGGGAAGGCGTGGTGGAGAATTCTCCCGGATATTGAAAAGATTCCGTGCCCCAGAACGCATACATTTTAATTTGGACGCATTACAATAATCATTTTTAAATTTCAGTTCATTTTTAAAACATTTTATTTCTTTCAAACTCAACAATGGAAGGATGAAAGTCCCAATTGTAACGAATTTGATTTTAGTTGCATATGGAAGAAATTATTTGTTAAATATATTGCAATGGTTATCAAACTCTTTCGTAATAATATACCTAGAGCAGATTTTCTGTTAACGCAAAACTCTTATTGTTTTATTGGTATTCTAATTTTGATGTTTATGAACCTAGACCGCGGAGACTTAGGTTTCAAAATATTTTTTAGATGCCTCAAATAGGGTTTTTCAGCATCTCAGTTAGACTTTTTAAACGTTTTCGGAATAGGCACAAATAATATAGGAAATTTAAGAAAAAACACACATTTTTACTATATATATATATATATAT